GGGGGGGGGGGGGGGTAGGCAAGTGAAGACTGACGGACAGAGAACAAACGACAAAATGCACGCAACACACGCGCTATATAATACAGCTGCAGCAGCTGAGAGAGTAGGTTGAAGCCGCCTCTGCATCGCGCCTATACTGCGAAAGCTATAGAAGAGGAGAGAGACAGAACGTCGAGTTGCAGCCTCGCTATTCGCGCGTTATATAGCAATGTTAATGCGTGTGTTGTGTCGGTGTACTATTCTCATCGGCGGCATTCCGATAAGCTGCATACCAAGAACTATTACGCGCATATCTCGGGGTGTCTATTTTCACGGCGTGGCGCGTCGTGTGTCGTATATGTATTACGCACACGCGGAGGATGCGTGTGTATGTATAATTCGCATATTAGACCCGTTCTAGAATAGATGATGCACATGTCAAAAAAGCATACGTAGATGTTCGAACTTATCGATCCATCACAATGTTCTTGCCTTTTATCAAATAATTACTTATTATTTTTATAGCATATAAACTTTTCAAGTCTATTGTTAGAATTTTTAAAGCAACCTTCCATAAAATATTGATAAAATGCAAGTAAGTTCAAGTTCAGTTGCGGCTCTTCTGCACTTTTTAAATCGCAACAAAAAAGCCTCTTAATTTCTCGAAGTAATTTGTAACGAGTACCAAGAAGCCGTTGTTTTTACTTTTCTCAAATTGCCCGAGCTGTCTCCCGAGTGCCAAATTACCAAGGTAATTTACTCTTTTGCCAAAAGTTTTCGGCGCGCTCGAAGTGATTTATGGCGCTCGCAATTTTTCACAACCTATTTTCATGTCACTCGTGTGTTTTTCCCTCCTCCGAATTTTCCGTAACTTATACGGGTTATACACACAGAGTTAAAATAGCGACAAATAGTTCCAAATATTGCGTTCTCACATTTCGGAGGGAACGTTCATTTAATTACCGTTTATGCACTTTGCGAAGCCCCCCAATCGTTCTCAATTTACACTTTGAAAGTTCGGTAGCATTTATATTCGTTTGATGAAAGCTCCGTTTAATTTGCAACTCGAATGAGCTGCCGTACGTGGTTTTACAACAACAGAAAAATATTATGTCAGTCGAGCAAATGCTTCGAGCAAATTTGCATTTACGCGTTTGATAAAAACGAAAAGAAGTACATTTTTGTTGGAAATTGATATCTTATGGGAGTTCGATGCTTCGGCACGATACGGTTTTTATGTCGCGAAATATCGAAAAAAATCAATATTACTTTTCACAGAAAGTTTTAATCTCCTTCGATGGACATGAATTTAAAAAGAGATACCATGACACTTGTATTGATTCGATCAATAGCTTTAAAAATAATAGTCAATTGAAAAATAGTCTATCGAAGCGAGTCGTACGCAATCTTAAGCATACGAAAATGGTTTTAATGAGAGATGAATCGAACGATTATACAATAGAGAGCTTTTTGTTTTATCGGTGACCCAAAAATTTCAGAAATCGACGCGTTACATAATAACAAAAAAGCTTAATTTTTGACGAAAATAACTCATTATCAAAGCTCTTTCTATATTTGTTCTTTGTGTGGGTGTATGTGCAGGATACACACGTAAGAAAAATACGAGATCTTCATCGACGAGATAACGCTTCTATTTTCCAACGACTCGAATTTCTGTCCGTTCTCTCAAAACCTTCTATACCTTGGTCAGTCGATCTATCGCGGTCAAAAAAAAATGTCTGCTGAGTGCACATAATATATCGACAATGAAAGTAAGAGTCATAGCTCGACGATTCAAAGTATATACCAAAAAATCAGGTCTCCGCGTGTATTTTACGCGCGCGTACATAAAACAACATAAATATATCGCGTGTACGCGCCACTCGAGCAAGAATAATAAGCCTCGAGTTAGATAGTGGTAAGCGAGAGTGGAAAGAAACTGTGTTTACCCGTGTACGATCGGCGTGTGGTACTCTACATATATCTTATAATTACTCGAAGAGCCGGGCACACGCCTCGTATAATAATGAAAAATATATAAACTGCCGCTAATCTATCGTTGCGTCGAGGCCTCGCGGTGTATCGATAAAGATGTCTCTATTATTCGCTCGTGCACGAGCGATACGACAATCGATCAGGCACGTTCGCTATTTTAATATACCTGACTCTAAAAAATTTTGCAGACACACGGACTGTAAGTCCATTTTACGTGTATATAGAATGACGTCAGATCGTAGGGCGCATAGCAGCAAACACAAATACACACACACACATGTGCGCGAGGAGGTTCAACGACCTCCGACTCGGAGTGGCAAGTTCTGTCTGTGTTCGCAAGTTGCAGTACACACTTTGCATTATATTTGCTGCATTATACAGCGAAATGTGCGACCCGTGCGATAAGCATTAACTCACGTATGGCTTGATTACAATTATTAGCGGGATAATCTTTCGAAGGGTCTCTTATTTCCTATACGATACTTATCACTATTGATGAAGGAAAATAAATTTTATGATATTGAAAGCTTTCGCGGTGGTAGACCTTACTACTCGATCCACTTTTAAAAGAGTATAATAAACTTTCGTACTTTACAATTTTATATTTATACATCTCTCTTTTCGCCTGTCTCGGATGTATATTTATTCATATAAAATGCCTAAACAATTCATAGAAAAAGAAATGAGAGAACTAAACATATTTTTATTCGCGTTTAATCCTTCAGGTCAATGTTTGAGATTAGCTATGCTAATATATCACAGAGATACTCGCTTATCGCCTGCATAATATATATGTGTATAGGTGCTCAAACGGCATAGAACACGGGAGTTTGAATCCACGCGCGAGGAATTTATTTTCCTTTTTCCTTCCATCTATTCGCATGTGATTCGAGATTCATTTTAAATTCAAAACTCAAGAGGCTTTCATAAGTATAACAGCTCTGGGGCTTGCATAGTCACACGTATTATGCGATTTTGCTTTGTGTACGCGAAAGTTTGGATGTGCGTTTCCGATACAGTTACATGGAAATTCGAGAAAGTCACAATCATTCAAACGAAATTTAGTAAAAGCTATTGCCAAGGGATTGCCGAATTTAATAACTTACTAAAACTTCGCCTTTAATTAATTCGACTATAAAATGAATTTGGTTTTGTTACAAAATACAAACATAGTCCAGAAATTTCAACTTGAACATTTGAATTTTGATAAAAGTTGCTACTAAATTCTTCTTGAGAATATCGTTTTTGAACCCATCTCTTCTTCAATAAAACCATTCTAATTAGAATACTATATCATAATGGTTATTGATTGAAAAAATGAAAATCTATGCAAATGTTGCATGACAACAATTTTAACAATTTTATTTTTAATTTTCAGATAACACCTTGTAATACACCGGCAACTCCGCCAAATTTTCCAGATGCTTTGTTAGCATTTTCAAAAATGTCAGCAGGTGAAAAGACTCCCTCTGGTAAGTAGTAGACTCCCGTCGTTAAAAATATTGCTTCCCTTTTTTTTTTGTATTTTTTTTATATAAACATTAAATTATAAAAGTAACTTCACTTCATTTCACAAAATAATACTTGAATCCATTCAAATAAACTTCATAATTTGTTTGCTCAAGCTCCCCAATTACTGCGAGTTTAGTTTCAAAAGTGACAGGCGCGGCAAAGCTTAATCGCTTAAGCTGTCATATTCGAATAATTAAAAGATTATTTCGCATCAGTTAGTTTCTTCTTTAGTTTTTTTTTACTCTCCAAAAATCGATGTAATGAGCTTTTTGTTTACCAATATTGATACTATACGCACGAATAAACTATGTAAATTCGATTAACATTAAAGTTTAAACGTTTAAACGCATTTGGTTGCTATATTCTCACGGAGCTTGATATTTTTTTTATGCGCGCAGGTATGTCGCCCAGTCAAAACGGCTCGATAATTCAGCAGCAGCTCCAGCATCAGCAGCGATCGGCCGAGCAGCGGTGTAGCAGTGTGTCGGGCCATCATCAGTACACTCATCATCATCACCATCATCATCCCCAGGCGTCGCCCGCGGCCACCGTTCATCATCCCCAGCATCAGTTCGGCCTCGGCGAAAGATAAGATACGTCGATGATGATGATGGTGCGCGAGTTCTGAGCATCGTCGGAACTGTGTATCCGAAGCATTATAGCATGTACTCTCGTTGAAAGCCGCGCAGAGGCTGCGTCGTGAGTATTCGGCGATTTAATGCGCGCGGAGTTTTTTTTGTTTTTTTTTTTTTTTTCAACTGGTTTTTTATAAACTGGTAGTAATTTGCAACTGCGACACGGTTAGTTGGATGAGTAGAAAGTAACTGCTCGACTGTATTTATCCTCCTATTTTCGATGAAGTCACGTGTATACGTCCAATTTTTTATTGTTAAAAAGCAATGATGCAATCGATCGTCGCGATTGATATATTCCCGACGCACTATTACGATTGATAAAGTAGTGCTGCAAGTTTATTTTTCCTATAATCAACAAATTTATCGTGTGACAAACGAGCACGAACCGACAGATTTTAAATGTACAGACTTGTCGAGACGGCTCGCTCGTTTCGGAAGTTCTTTACTTCAAACTTGTCGGATTATTACGAATTCTTATAATTGAAATGATTATTGTTTGAGTGGTTATGATTACGTAAAAATCGTATTTCTATACAAGAAAAAAACAGTACTCTTGAACGAACGTTCCAGAATGTAACGTCTAAAAATATAATTTGCAGAGTTAAATAACGATTTTTTTTTCTAAATAACTATCGTACATCGAAACGTTGATACTACGATTTTCTTTTTAAATCTTGGCTGCGAAACGATAAAATTGTTAAAATTGAAAGATTACGTACGTGTATGATAAAGGTGCAATTGTCAGCGAACTTTTCTGCTTTTGAGAGTGTATTTGTTATCAAATTGTGGATATAAGATATATTGAAGTAGAATACAAAAAAAAATGTATTTTAAATTTTAAAATTGAACTTTAAATACTGTAATATTAGCATATAACTAGTTCGTTAGGTAGTTAGTTTTTTCAATTGTATTCGTGTATTTTTTTTACACGATGATGACTAATTATTCGAATTAAGTTGATAATCCAATTTGTAAGCGCTTTTTCTGACGATACATAAATATTTATATTTTCGTTCATAAATCTCCGCTTATGATGGAAAAAAATCGAAAAACAAGAGCTATTGTTTAATCGTACGATGAACTTCCATACTACTATAATGAACGGTCGTATTCACGAGCAGTTTTTGAGATGCAAAACTATTTTATGCGGGTACTATCGAGATAAGTATTTAAGTTTATTGTAGTTGATAAGTTTATTTATTAAATTAGTTTTTCAAATTTTTGTCGTGTTTAGCGGTGAATAGATGCGTTGTAGACATTTACAACAATGAATTATAGTAATTCAACTTTAGGATTTTTTAAAATACTTTTTACTGAAAAATCAGTAAAAATGTGCAGTAAAGTGAAATAGTGATTGCATCTCAAAAATACAGATGTGACTTACCAAAAAATGATTTATTTATATTTATTTTATGTATTATGATATTTATAAATGTTGTGAAATAAAAAAAGCTTTCTTTCTCCAACAACTGAATACCTCATGATTATTTCAAACTATTTGAAAAAAACAATTCAATTAGAAATATTAAAAAAATTTAACTCGCGCGATTCCTGGACGAGAATAACGTGGTGAATTATATTTATTAAAATAATTAAGCTTTTTGGAAATAGTGCGCGACACTTTCATCGATTTATTCAATTTTCATTCATTAATTTTACGAATACAAGTGTCGAACACATTGATTGATAAAATTTAATTTAATTTTTCGGTCAATCAACATATTGAATTTTTCTCACCATTGTACGAGTTGAGATAACTGTCAAAAAAAAAAATAAATAAAAACTACATAAGTTTCTAATACTTGACGTATCTATTGATGTAACGCTTCAAGTTGGAAAAAATTCTTGACGGGTTTCTAAACGTGAAGCTTCACTTTGAATAATGTAAATAAAATGTACGTAGATGTTTTTCATATTTCCTGATAAAATGGACTGCGATGAAATTCTTGTAGTAGGTAGTACTTCTGCACGAATGAATTTACGAAATCAGTAGTTTTCAAATTTGAAGTACTAAAAGTCGTTACGTACTAATAAAGTATCACATTTAAAATTATAAGAAACAATCATTGTACAATGATAAAGCACTTTAAGAGACTGACCCCCTTGTTATATAATAATATCATTATAATCCCTCGTGTCGAGTTTGAATTATGTTTTTCTTGTGTGCCTTTTTATCGATATATAAACTTCAATTTTACACTATACCTGGGTATATCCATTGCAACATATATCTACCCCTACTTATTCGAATATTTGAAATTACCTAGTGACACTGCAAAATTATGAGATTTTGAATTTTATTTGAATATGTTTCAGTTTCAGATTTTTATAAATATCTTCTTTTCTCCCATGTGAATATTATTTCGTTTTTCTGAAATTACGATTAAATGTTAAATATCATCTCTATAAAAATAACTTTATGTATACGTTCGCACAAACGTTTGTCGTTGCGATGTTTTTAAAATTTTGCCGTCGACTTAGTAGAAGATTAATAATGTTGAAATAAATGATATCAGCGGACAAAGCGACATATTTTCTACAAGAAAATTCGCCTTTATGAGTGTGCAAAAAATATTGTATCATATATGTGTAAAATTGATGCTATTTGTGACACTTCAATAATTACGAAAATTCATACAAGTATTTAGGCCTTTCAATTCGTCATATTAGATGTTTTTATTGACGATTTTTAGATTTCAAATACAGTAAAAATAAACTTTAATCAGTGTCACATTGATTCTAAAATGTAGATAAGGTAAATGCGAACAAGAATTTAAAGCAGTAATCATGATACGACAACAAATTTCGAAGACAAGTCTACTTTGATAAACTGAGGTTATAAACAAATAATCAGTTTTTCAACTTGTATTTTACGGGTTTCATTATGTACGATTACGAATAAAAAGTTCAGTTATAAACACAACAATTTATAGCCAAGATTGCATTGTGAGCAATTAACACTTTTTCTTTTGTACATATAAAATAGTACACGAATTGTAATGGAATGTATGCATGAATAGCTAACAAACTGTTTGATGACTTAGAGAGTAATTAAAAGTGATTTGAATAGTGTAATCATCAGTCAAAATTTTTTATTGTATACAAAAGTATGTATTATGTATACGCTTGATATTTTATAGAAAATTTTTTGGGTTTTTGTTAAGTTGCTGATTACTGTTTACTAACATGGTATTGTTTGACTGTAAATAATCAAGAATAAAGAGAATTACTCAGATAAAATGATTAAAAATGATATTTTTATTGTGATTTTTTCACATCTCAATATTTATTTATATTTACAAGCATATTATTCAAAAAAATGTAGAACAAATAGATTTCAATATATTCAACTTTTTTGTAATTAATTTACATTTATTATTACAATAGTCACACGGTGGCTGTCACATACAACATGATATTATATAAAAATACTTTTCAACAGATTATAGTCTATCAAAATTCCAAACATAACAACCATTTTCGTTATAAAAATTCAAACGGTCATGATATAACAAAGCTTTTGGTACGTTGATTTTCATCGGTATATTCATAAAAATTATCTTAATATCACCTTATAAAGAAGCTACAACAATTTCTAACTAATGTATTAAAATATTAAATTTGAAATACGATTTCTCATCAATGAAAGATTGATACATTTACGATATAACTACGAAACATTGTGAAATATTGTCAAATTATGATGCGCCAAGTAAAATTTTGTAATTTAAAATGTTCATATGTGAACTCGAATTCATCTAATGAATCAAACTGGTAATAAAAATTTACCCGTGATAAAACTTTATCAGGAACGATTATTGCGTCACTGTAACACCTCGACTAAGTCCAGTCCATCTATCAGGAACTGGCAGGAAATACTTGTGCATGGCAGTAATAAAACGGGAACGATATTCCACAGGAGAAACAATCGTTGGTAATTTACCTTGGCCCCCCAAAATGCCTGATTTTTTTACCATTGTTTCAATTTTTTTATCCCACGTGAATGTGCGTAAATAATCTGTTTCAACAAAAATGAAATAAAGTTTTAACGGCGAATTTTTTATGAAATGAAATTTTTCATATCGTTAATAACAATCTACTCACCGATAATACCGATCACAAGTTCATCTGAGTTTGGTTCGAGACCCACAAGTAGTGAATAATCCATGACACAGTTGTCAGCCAAAAATTTAGTATCTTCTTCAATAGCTTTATTAAGAACAGCTTTGGCGTGTGGTCTTATGTACAACGGAGAGTCACAACTCACTAAAAGAAAGAAAAAAATGAAAAATGCTTGAAGTTTAGAATGAGTTCATTTCCATTCGCATCTCCAGACTTTCAAAACTTACTGTTTAATAAATTTTCATCCAAAAGTACAAGTTCTCCTTCGTGATCAAAATCTTCCAGATTGACTAATCGATTTCTTTGTGATCCTTTGAGATCGAACTTATCAGTAATACTTCGGTTATAGAATAAATTTTCCATTACTAACACACTCGTTCTAAGAGCAGCATTAGTCGTATTATTTTTGAAGGAAACTCGGTAAATACCAACGATTTTTCCCAGCAATGTTGGTTGTTTAGTCTGTTGACATTTTTCCATATAAGCAAAATAATTAGGAGCAAAATCCAAAAAAATTTGCAAATCCATTCTGGTCATTTCTTTCAAGATAAATCGATCATCTAGAAGTAAAATTGACGTATGAAATTTTGCTAAAAATTGATACTGAAGTATGACGAGTTTTTGATTGAATAATTATTTGAAACTTGTAAGTATACGTTAACTGATTTCAATAGCAAAAAGTTTTGATAAAATCAAAAAAACGGTACCAAGTTATTATAAATTAACTCGTTTAGAATAATTTTTTTGCTCGATGAAATTTTACCTCGTGTTTTGGAAAAGGTGCTTCCACTTTTTCCGCCGCGTGCGGCCCACTGAATACTCCGAGCGAGACTCCTCGTGTATCCGTCCTCGCCGCAAAGCAGAACGCTTTCTCTCAGGGCGGCGAACTGAGCAGCGAAGTAGATGCGACAGTAAAAGTTAGTCGTCGAATCGGCAAATTGAACTTCGATGTAATTCTGTTGCTGCTGCTGTTTATTGGACGATTTTTTCTCGTCGTCGAATTCGGTCGCGCTCGCCGAAGTTGGTGGAGACATCTCGGAAGTTGGCGCCGATTTATCGATGTCCACGGGACTGCCCTGTAAACGTGATTTTTCAAGTTCATGAGTTGGTTTCGATTTCATATGCTTGAATTTTGAAGAAATAAAAGCAATAATTGGTTCGCTGAACTTACGAGATAATTTGGATTTGGGCTATTTCCGCGTAAAAATGATAAAACTGACGGTCGCTTCGATTCGCCGGACTGAGTAAGTTCGGATGTACTATCCTTGTTTTCCTGATTTTTTCTCTTGTTCAGAGGACTCGAATTTGAATCGGAACCACGGCTTAGGCGGAGCTGCTCTTGCAGAGTATGCTTGTAATCATGCGAATCCAGTGCGTACGCTATGATCGATGATGGCTCAGATTCGTAAACAATGATCGGTACGACTGACCTATAAAATTTCATAATCATAATTTAGGAAACGTTAATTACAATTTTTTTTTCATAAAATAGATAACGATTTTACCCCAATGGTAATAGATGGTGTTCCGATGTCCCCAAAGGATTCGTTATGATTTGAGTATTTGGCGTTGAAGACCACACTTGCGATAAGATGGTTTTTTTCTTCTTTTTCTTATCTTGAGGCTCATCGGGAACCGATGGAATGATTTCTACGGGCAACTTGTTTTGTACTTTTGGTGAACCTTCGAACACAATAAAAAAAAATCCATGAACTCAATCGGTCGAATACATCCGTGATGAAAGGAAAAAATGAAAGGAAACATTTACAAATGAAGAAGCTTATAGTGTTATAAAAAATCGTAATGAAGCTGAAAAAACATGCAAGAATCGTGCAAATTGTTTTAATGTTCGGTGCATTAACGACAGCATTCAAAAGCTATATACTACACCTGATTCTAAATCTACTATGCAATGATATCCTGCAACAAATAAAATCAAACCGCATTTTTTCAAGTGAACTAAAAATACGTATGCATTAAGTTTTGAGGGCGATACAAAAGTAATTATCCTCGATCTGAGATAATTAATTTAAAAATCGAATCTGAGATAATTAATTTAAAAAATGCGAAACTTAATAATACGCATGCCTTTAAAAAAAAGATAAAGTGCGAAATCGGATGCACTTACCTTGAATAACCACGATCTCTTCGGGATTGGTATCCAAGACAGACTCGTGAGTTTCGTACTCCAACGCATGGCTGCGCTGCGATTGTTGCTCTTGCTGCTGTATGGCCGCGATCGCGTCGACCGCATTGAAGTCCGCCGAGACTGGACTGGTGTCGTCGAGGCTTTGATTCTCTTTCGAAACGTCGGCGGTTGCGGCGGCGGCGGCGGCGGCAATCGAGTCTTCCGTCGTCGTGCAGTCGCTCGTGTCGAGCGGCAAGCTCGGCGGTGGTTGCGTTTTACGAGCCGGCACAGGAGTCGACGATTGTTTTTCCTCCTTGCGACGTACTACGGCCTCGGCCAAACGCGTATTCCACGTTTGAACCATCTCGGCTATCAGACGCTTCAGTATGACGATGTTGTCCTCGACCCTGTGCATGATGCTCTGAACCTGGCGGTCCTGAGACTTGCTGCTGCTGCTGCCGCTGCCTGACGATGACTTCTCGGCGCTCAGACTCGGCGAGGTGAGCTTCAGCTGCAGCTCCTCCATCTTGCTCTTGAAGTACTGCTGGTCCTTGGCGAGGCGCTTGATCATGTCGGCGGCGCTCGCCTCGTCCAGCTGCAGCGCCGCGATCCGGTCCTTGGCTTGGCTGAACACCTCGTCGCCCTTGAGCGCCACCAGCCTCGTCTCCTCGACGAGGCCGGCTTGAAGCCGCGGATCGTGGTGGCCGACGTCGATCAGCGGCGGCGGCAGCGAGATCTCCCACTGGGACACGCGGCTGTAGCGCACGCAGGCGAGCATGTTGCGCCGCGAGAAGTACTGCTGGTGATCGTGGTGCAGCGAGTGCTGGCAGCACTGGCTGGTGCCAGTGTCGGTGGTGGTGGCACCGCCGCCGCGGCGCGTGTACACCGAGGCGTGAAAGCGCAGCTCGAGATACTTGGCGAACGACAGCGACCAGGTCTCCTCGGAGATCGGCACCACCGCCGAGACGCTCTTGCACTTGGAGCACTTGCTCCACATGAAGATCTGCTTGGGATTGTCCTGACCTGCGCAAATTCACACGACGTGTAAAGATTCAACGAGGTAAAAACGTGTGGATGCTTACTGAGATGGCTGAACGGATCGGTGTTCATTTCGCTGAGGCTGATGTAGACGCAGCCGCCGTCGTGCACGAAGCGACGCACGTGCTGGGCTATCTGGGCGCGGCAGTTCTGCGCCGGGCACTTGTACTCCGTCGTGAGGCAGTAGCGCTCGAGGAAACGGCCGAGAGGGATGTCGTTGCGACCGTACAGATCCATGTTGACCACCCACGGATTGACGCAAAAGGCAGCCGTGTTGTTTCTGTGTTGGATTCGTTCGATTCGATATACACTCTACTCGTGCGTGTGTAACGTATAACAATGTACTACCACTCACGTGCTCGTGTTCCGCAAAAAACTGCAGAAGAGGACGGAGAGCCTCTGATGACTGGCCGAGTCCAGGCAATCGGGCCAAGCGGCGGCTTGTAGAGAAGCAGCGGCGGCAGCTTGTTCGGGCTGTTGCTGCTGCTCCAACACCAGCGGGGCTCGAAGTTTTTCGGCTCGCTCCTCGGCCTCTTGGCCGACGACCTTCGGCAGCCGACCTCCGCAGGCGCGAAAGTGCGCCAACTGATCGCGAATCTCCTGACTGCCGGACGGTTTCGTCAATCTGCTCGTGACGAACGAGTGAGCCGGCAACGGATTCACGTCCGTCAGAAGACCCTCCGGCAACGAAGGCTCCGAAGCGGCTATCGATTTGGGCGCTAAAAAAAAGCGAGGAGTCGTTATCGTTTCGATCGAATGACCTATACGAAATTCATCTATATCAATGGGCAATCTCACCTTCCATCTTTTCGGAAAAATAGGCCGAATAGTAGAGCTCCTTGGGGAAGAAGCTGCGGAGCACGCAGTGCCGACCGAGCTCGGTCTCGAGGTACGGTATGGAGAACTTGACGTAGGGCGAGATGCTCAGTACCGTGCCCTCGAGGGACTTTTTGAAGTTGTTGAGCAGCGGCAGCTCGGCGACGCTCAGCCGCTGTCCGTTCGGACTGCTGACCGGGGGCTGCAGCAGCTCCTGATGAAACACCTCGTTGTCGTCATCCTCGTCCTCGTTGAGATACTGATGCAACGGATCGCTACGGTCGCTCACCGATTCTCCGCCGTGAGCCCGAGGCTGCTGCTGCTGCTTCTCGTCTCCGCTACTCGACGACGGTAGCAAGGCCACCGCTTCGCGAGACGATCGCGAGCCGCTTCCGCTCGCCGTTTCCTTGCTTTGGTTGCAATTGCCGCTGCTGCTGCTGTTGCGACTGAACAGTTCGAGCGTGTTGTCTATCTCGCTCTCCGAATACTTTTCTTGAATCGACAGCGAGCTATCCTGAAAGTAATTTTTCCAAAAAAATTATCGACTCGATTCGGGTCCAAAAATATCCTATCCTACCTTGTCATTTTTACCATCCGAACTGCTCTTAGGTTTGGATTTGAACAGTTTCAAGGTGTCGTAGTAATTCGACGTATCCATAGATGATCGATTGAAATTCCTACTTTCTTGATTTTGAAGCTGTTCGTTGCTAGCTTCATCGGATGTATTCGTGTACTTCGCTAACGAGCCGTCGTTGTTCGATTCATCTTCGGAAATATCGTGGTCGTTATTTGGGAACGATATTCTCTTATGAGCCGCTGACTTTTCCGCTTTCGGTTCGGTACCTTGAACGTCAAAAGGAAATATAAATATCATTAGCTCTCATTTGATTATCGTATCTTTGAAGCTCCCTCTCGACTGTCTTACTTTGGTTACGTTTTTTACTTTTGCTCGGTGAACTGTTACGCGACGAATCATCGAGAAAGGAATTATCCTTGGGCGACGGTGGCCGCGCAAACTCGTCCATCAGAAATGATTTCTCCAAAAGGTACGAATACGCAGAGAATATTATCATCGACGTCACTTTTTTCACTTTTTTCAATTCGATTGCGGAACCTCCTCTCAACAGTACCGTACCGCCCAAATGAGGATTCGCGCAGCCTTCGAAAAACATGAGGGTTTTCATAGCTGTAAACAATTGCGTAGAATTTTTAAACTTATGAATGATGGAGCGTAACGAATGAATACAACGTCAGTGAAACATGTTTTAACGAACTATTTTCAGCAGAAAAATTTCTCAAGTAAAATTTTTTGCACATTCCGAGTCGAGATCTAGTGGAAATGTGAGCATCTATGGTGTCGACGATGTTGGCACCGGTACATCTCGCCAGTCTCTCGAGTACGCTGAGTTTGACGTTCAGAACCAGCGTCACTCCGCTTTGGCGCAATTTGTCCTGGGCCAATCTCGAGACGGATTTATGCACGAGGACGATGTCGGGCCTCAACGAATTTATCCGCGCCACCGTGTGCTGCAGAGACTGACTTTCCTGCTCCCAACAAAAACGAGAAAAGAATTCAACGAACGAACGAACGAATAACTATCTTGAAATCGGTGTACACACGTACCTGCATCAGAATCGGTTCCAGGCTCAACAATTTTCCCTCGACGCGTTGATACGTGATGCCACACCTCAACAGCAGTATCTTTGGATTCGCTATCATCGCGTTCATGCTCTTGTGAGACACGTTCTTGCTGCACACGATGCCCGAGACGATTTCGCAATCTTTCCTGTTGCCGCCGGGTGACTTCTTTATCTGTATGTACTGCCTGATGTCCATGTCGTCGGCGTCGTGATGCAAGTCGGGACGCACGTGCTCGACCACTTGGTGGGCGATCCTGAGGATGATCTCGGACCAGCTCTGCGACAGGCCCTCTTTGTTGAGCAACTGACGAATGAGGGTATCCTCGTGTTGTTTGTAAGCGGATGCGATACTTTGGTAAGAGCTGGCTTCGCCGTAAGACGATTTCAAATTGCTTATCTCGTTCCAGCCGCCTGCACCTTTCTTTTCTTGCACAAGGAGTGTATCGTTAAGTAGATCTTCCGGTACATTGGAATTTTCTTGACATTGAAAATTTACTTCTTTGTGTTCGATAATTTCACTGTGGCTGTCTGACCCTGAGAAATCTAATATTTCGTTTGACGTGGGCCTTTTCAAGGATACAGTAGAAGCTTCCAAATCTAAATCTAAATAAAAACTCGAGCCAGAACTAGGTAAACGCGAGACGGCTTGCAATGGTTGCTTCGTTTCACCATCTGAATCTATGCAATGAAAGAATGAAATTGATTGAAATAGTTACTATTTTAGAAGAAGAGAATGTAATTCAATTTTTACCTGTTGTTGAATCATATTGTGGAATAGTTTTTACCCAAGCTGGTTCTTGAGCATCGCAAGAAGGTTTATTTTCTGAAATGAAATCCTTACTTTTAACACGAGATAATTTTGCCGGCTTAAATAATGCAGCTGAATCACTGAAGGCATTTTCTAATAGGACGGATTCTATAAAGCCAGCTTCAAATAATGCTTGTCCCAATGCTATTGCTTGTATTCTAAAAAAATTCATTTTCAGGGTAATTTTGACAAGTTAGATGATTTGTTTGATAATTTTAAGTTAAAAACCTTGTTGCTGCTTTTTGTTGACTGATCAACCAATTTACTAACTCATTTCCTAAAAAACAATTGTAGTATCGGTTTAATCGTATTCTATGAGTTTGCAAAGTTATTGCCTGACTTGACCGAAACATTTCTTCATAAATCATTCTCAATGAGGCTGAATTCTGTAGCGCAAAAGCTCTTTCTTGAGTCGACAGATTTTGTGGAGTTCTAGTACAAAGAATATTGAAAAAGATTTAAATTTTAATCATGACATAAAATTGTTTCATTATTTCATTTTCTGTCTTAGTATTTTTACCTCCCAAAAGCATACTTTTCTTCCATATATCCAACACTAGGTTTACGCTTTGCACTTGTATCATTTCCTGAAATTTCACTTGTAGATTTTTTAGATGATTGTGGTACTGCACTATTACCATATTTTTCCTCAAGATCTTCTTGGAGGGCTTTCAAATCTGCTGACAGTGCACTTCTCATATCAGAGGATTGCAGGTAAGACAAAACTACTTTGCAGCAATATGTACAAACTCTTAAATCACCTTCAAACAAAAAGAAATATGATTATTGAAATGATTAATTTTTCTTTAAAAAAGTTATATGAATGTTACAATTACCAGTAACACCCATTATCTTGCCAGGCACTTCATCGCTGCAGCACTTGGAGCAAAAAATTTGGCCACATATTCTACAATGATGCCGTCTTCTAAATGTAGTAAATCTTTCTCCGCACTCATAACATTGTTTGCTTACATTATCCGGCATCCAATAACTCCTCAATTGAGAATCATTGTAAGACTGAAGATTCTAAAAATTTTTTAAAATCAATGTAATAACTTCTATAAATAATACCAATTCAAAATTTGAACGTACGTTACTCTTATGAGCTACAATGTTGCTGATTCGTTTTAAGACATTAGGGAGACTTCGACCTTCGCTACTATCAACTGAATAGTTACTTTTAATTTCTGCATCTTCGGATGGTGATATATTTTGAACTGTTGAAGGTTTCCATACCTCAGAAGTCTCCGATATACTATCTTTTTCATCAACAGGAGTCGGAGGTTCTGTGCTGCTGGGTGTTGAGTCTTTATGCAACAAAAAAATAACAAAACACATCGTAGGCAAGATATCCTAGAACACCTTACTAATCATAATGTCTTACTTTTTGAAAAGCTGAAAAATTTTGAAAAAATAGAAGTCACAGCAGGCGGACTTCCTTCTGGGCTCAACGGAGCAAACTCCGTGAGTTTAGTCGGGGAATTCATGTTTTTATGCATTATGCCATTGTTGTTTATAACTTTTATCCCGAATGTTATCTTCGTGTGTTCTGTCACATCGTTACAAGTAAATTGCACTGCATGTTACATTTTTATTGCGAGGTTAAGACAACAAACATTCATAGAGGCTTCTGTCAGTGTCAGACTCAGTGTCACTTATCAGATACCCGTGCATTGTTACGACCTGACAATAGATGGCGTTTCCATGGTACCCGCAAGCGACTAAATTTCATTGGCATAATCAAAAACGTGAATATCTCGTGGTAAACTTACAAGAGGAATGACGCAAAAATTTTCCATTTCTCTATTTTTCCGAAGTTTGCGAATAGATTATTTACATCTATTGCCCACGTTCCAATTAATTTTAAGCACGGTTTTATCATAGTATACTTCAAATCCTGTGCTGTAAACATTTCATTTTAGCTTCATGAAAACAAGAAAGTATGTAGTAAAAAAAATTCTGTTTGCAAATTTTCCAATGCATGCAAGGTATGTAATTGTCATATGCAGTAGGACATTCAAATTTATCAGCTAGAATGTTAAGATCGCGCGTGAGTTTTTGTTGAAGAATCGGTTGAATGAAATAAGGGAAAGCTGAATGAAAAAGCCTGAAGTTTAATATATGACCTTTAAATTTGCTCTATGCATCCATACTTTACGTTTCAAATATATAGACAAATTTTATGTGCAAAAGCGCGATTGAGATGAGAATCCTCAAACATCTCCAAATACTCAAAATTATTTTTAGGAGGTTCATTTATCCATTACGAATGGTCAATACTTTGCAATCTTCATCAAAGGGTCATCGGATAGGGGAATTGTTTGTTTTTTTTTGCTTCATCTGATAATACATTTCAATATTTTTAACTGTACTTTCATTAAAATGCAAACATAATTTTTCACATGGAGATAAGGTTTGGACAGTTAGGATTTTAAAATAAATGTCTTTGTTCATTGTTGGTATTTTAAAAAAGATATTATTTATCTTTAAAATTACACCATGCGTCTCAACAGTTCATTGATCTTTTCCTCACGGTTTCCGAAGTCACCTCCTTCAACGTAGTTGTTGGTCTTCTTGCGCCATCCACCAGTTGGGGTGTTGAGCTAAAAATTAATAAAGCATTAATTATCAAAAGTTCATAATCTTAATTATAGAAAAATTATTAGATATGTTTCATGGAGAAAAATTAAAATGTGCAAGAATTACTTGTTTCACAACTTAAAAAACAGATGTGAAGTAATGGGTTCTCAAATTAATCTTTGACATTGTAGGAAGTAACAAAAAAATTTATTCTTTGCCACTATGCCAATGTCAATAATACATTTAGATTGATATTCATTTAAGATATGTATAATTAAACAGAAAATGTGCACTAATTTACCTTGAATGGCCACAAGAAGTTGCTGGCGTATTTGAATTTGTCACCAACAGTGAAGATTTCATGAATCAAATCTTCAGTGCAGATGATATTTTTGTTGCTTAATCCTTTTGAAATGATACCATTGCTGGTGATTGGAATTCTCTGCTTGTTGATCTTGGCAAAACCACGCTTGTAAACAAGCTCTTTGACGCTCTTGAGATTAGGGTAACCCCATGTAACGTATGGCTCGATGATACGAAGCATATTAGTGGTGGCTTTGTTCAATTTAATGAACACGCCATTGTTAATTTGCTTCAGGCGGAAAAGCTTGAGGATCTTCCTTGGTTTTGGGGCAATCTGATTCACACTGTAGAAAATAGTAATTATTAATGACTGCAAAGTTTTAAATGTAGTAGATGGTATGGAATTAAACTTACCCACGAATTCTGATGACAAAAGCCAACCTAGCTTCGCTAGGGATGTAGTAGTTACCGAATTTCTTAGCCATTCGGATATTGCGGATCTCCTCTCGCTCTTTAATTCTGTACTCCTTCGAGTATTGTTCTGCTCGCTTGAAGATCTCCTGACGCTTCTCATGGTATTGAGTTTTTTTCTGAAATTTAAAAAACGGTTGTTTATAAATTTCATCTCTTAAGTAAAGCTATTATTCATCATAGCTGTAAAAAAGTACTCACTTTGATGGAGGTTTGTAGACGAGCTGCTTTGGCAACTTCTCTGCGTTTCCTCCTCTTCAGTACCGCCTCTGGTACTGCAGGCAAAACTTTGCCCTCGGCCTTGACTTCTTTATTACCACTAGAAATTTGAAAACACAAAACGTTAGTACGAGTACGAACAAAATATAGAAAAATTAAAAACTAGCAACATCTTTGTTATTCATCATACATCGATTGTTGCAAAAATAATTCCAACCGAGTATCGGCATTTTTGGGTTAGGGATACATCGCACATGTTGTTGCTTTGCAACAATTGCAATAGAAATTTAAATCGTCACGATGGCAAAAAAAATTTGTGATCCAGGCGAAGAGTCGCGTTTACGCAGTGATTAATACACATTTTGCGACAATCCTTACTGCTTTAATTCTCAATAATAATATTTAATAAAGAGATACATACGTGACGGTCATGATTGCAGAAGCGGAAAAGATCTTGGTTAACGCAGGAGGCGCGTGGCTAGGCTTTTCGGAGTTCGCCGTTGTTCCTGCTTCTGCGCGAGTGCGCAGCGATCGTTAGAGTGGGAATTTCGAAAATCGAATGATTGCACCGAACTGTTACTTACTAAAAATTCTCGATACATAACGCACGTAAATATTTTCGCACGTAGGCAACTTGATTGAACTTATTCAAGATGAATTAATTCGGTAATTTTTTATCCATTTGATGTATAATTGATTTTACAACAATCTGACAGTAGAATTAACAGCCGATCAGAACTGAGTTATTAATTATTGTATGTAGCCAGTTGGAAATTTACCTCTAATAATTGTACAATTTTTCCAATCGTAATTTTCACTTATGATGAATTATGGAAAAGAATATTTCGATAATTTTATTTTTTTACATGATTTTATAAATAACAATTTGTAAATTAATCTTCCGGTTCCGATTGTGTTTGCGAAATTTAATTGATAATATAATTTTTCAACTAATAATACATTCATATTGGGCTCTTGACATTCAAAATCTATTTTGACTCCGTCATCAAGTTCACTTTCATGATTAATGTCATATTTTCGTAAGGTATGGATTATATAATTATCAAATTTGGTAAGAGTTTGCAGTTTTACGGACAGGGTTTTTCGTTAATCATTTTACAATAATTTTCAATGAGCAACGCATAACTTGTCTCCTCTTTCGTATACATAATTAATTATAATTAATTTTGAACTGATAAAACTAAGAATAGGAAAAAACAATTATGAGAGCTTTTGAAAAAACGTAAAAAATATTTTTTGGTTTAAATAATAGTATTGAATGGTTTCTATAAGTTGGGCTTTTTGGTATATGAATGCATTGTTATTACTGATCCACCTTCGTATTCTTCGTGCATTTTTCTGTGTGTATGAGCGACTGCTGTTTTTTTCCATTTTTTTTCTCATGGACTGTTTTTTTGTGTCGGATCAAAGTGCCTTGATGCCCAAATTTTTTTCCACAATAAACGCATTCGTAATCTCTGCGACCTTCATGGACTGTCTGTTGATGTTTTGTTAAATTGCTCAAAACCCCAAATTTCTTCTCACATTTGTCGCACGCAAAATCTTTGTGACTTTCGTGAATTGTTCTTAGGTGAAAAGCAAACTTCCTTTTAATCCAAATTTCTTTTCGTACTTGTCACACGCAATCTTTACGATCTTGGTGTACTGCGTTTTGATGCCTGATAAAATCTGCTTTTCTTCCAAATTTCTTCTCGCATTTATCGCATGCGTATTCTTTCGAATTTTTGCGGGCTGTTTTTATGTGCAGGAGCAAATGACATTTATATCCGAATTTTCTCTTGCACTTGTCGCATGCGAGATCTTGGCGACCTTCGTGTACTGTCCTTTCATGGTCGAGCAAATGCAGTTTTTGTTCAAATATTTTCTCGCACTTGTCGCACACGAAATCCCTACGACCTTCGTGTACCGTCTTTTGGTGGGAGAGCAAAAGCCATTTATATCCAAATTTTGTTCCCTCAAATTATTTTCTGAGACACCTCCTTCAGATTTCTTTCACTTGTATCTATTTTGCTGAGGATCCTTATATTTAATACCACGGAAATGAATGAGTAACATTTATCTTGTGTTATTATGACTTGTTTGATCGGAAAAGACAATATTCAAACTAATTTGTTTTTACTTTAAACCCGATAAGTGTGCAAAGGAAGATGTGAAAATCGTTTATGATGATATTGTTTACGATTGAATTTCTAATTCATTCGTTAATAAATTTTGTTTGCAATATTTGAACCAGGTTAAAGGTCAAACTTGGCAACGATTTTTTTGAAGAATTTTTTTGGCCTTCTAAAACTGAGTACTTTAAAAAAATTCCCCGTAAAAAAATTTCATCAGACATTGATAACAAGATGCTCAGTTCGCTAAAGAATTGAATAATGTCCAAACAAATATATATTTCATTGTTTTATAGCATATTTCTCAAATGGTCATTCAGTGATACCCGGTTATTAATTGGTCCAACTATCCTATAATAAAATACTAATTGTAAATTTCTTACGATCTTCTTTTTAGGATTCAATGAGACCGTTATAAAGAATTGGAAAATGGGCAGGTTTGTTAATATATTTTATGTACTGTAAAAATGTAAAAACAAATAAAATATTAAAATGTTTTAATTTACTCGTAAGAGATTTTTACTACAAATATGATTATTCTTAGAACTTGCTTCAAAGCTTATAATAAAATAAATTTATAGATTTATCCTGGCTGTGGCGTCACAGTTGGGGAGATAACATGGAAAAAGATGAAGAAACAAACGGTCCGCAGATTTGCTCGAGATTTGCTGATAGAAATGTATGGTACAGTCGATAATATATGCCTTGATTATGCTCGAGCACATCGAACTATCGAAAATAGGAGCCCTAGAAAATTAATGTCTCCTAGAAAGTATCAACTGAATCTATGTGCGTTCAAATTATATACTTCGCTTCAAAAATAATGTCATTAATATAAATTATATTTACTTTTTGCAGCATTCACAATCAATTTGTCTGAAGAAAGAAAAGTAAGCCGATATTAAGATGATCAATCCGGCAGGAGACGCCTGCCTATATACGTCTCTCCTCGCTTAGTCGTTTATGGGAGCGACGCTCACGAGTAGGCGCTACCTAGCGGTGTGAAGCGTAAACAACAGTCCTGGTTGGAATGGATGCAGATAATAAATTTCTAGTCTAGTATTATATTAAAAATCCAACATATGTCGATTTGTGCAATCAAACCCGAACGTTGAGGTGGTCACCATAGATAGAAATGGCATTGTTTTGGATGAAGATGAAGCTCTTGAACTGCCAAAAAGGTAATAGTTATTATAATCATTATAAAATAGAAAAATTTTCATGAATTTTAATTATTGTAACTATATTTGTATATAACAACATTGTTATTAGACACAACCAGTTTGTCTAAAGAAAGAAAAGTAAGCCGATATGAAAATGATGCAGATGACTTTATTTTTAGACGACAGAGATGTAGGGTCCTTACTGTTTTACATTCGAACTGTTACTTACTAAAAATTCTCGATATATAACGCTCGTAAATATTTTCGCACATAAGCAATTCGATTAAACTTATTGAAGATGAATTAATTCGGTAATTTTTTATACATTTGATGTTTAATTGATTTTACAACAATCTGACAGTAGAATTAACAGACGATCAGAACTGAGTTAGTAATTATTAATATGCTTCGAATAGTTCACTATAAAAAAGGCGTGCATTTTATTAATGAAGCAATAATGACTTATTATTGACAATTGTAAATATACTTATCTAGACTTAGAAATTTCAATAAAACTTGTGGCAAAATCCTTCAGTTTATTATTTTGTACACACGAGAAACCACCTCGCTACATACGGATGTTAACACTTCATCCTTTCACTGTACATATTTTTTATAGCTTCCACGCGCGTCGTTGGTCATCAGTTAGTGTACACGTTAAGACACCGAAACGTGAACATCTTCAAAAGTGAAAGTTTGGCAGTTCGGGGGCGTTGTACAGCGCTCACAAGGCCAAAGAAAAAAGAAGAAGAAAAGTGAAAGTTTAGCTTCCACCGCGTGTTCTTTATATATTTTCTACAACGATTTAAAGTCAGTATTCGTTTATAAGCCGCAGTGAGAGAACACGTGATTTTCTTGAGGTAAAAAGTATCTTCAATTATAAGTGTTTGTGTATCGCGTGTGAGCTTACTAAAAAATGTCTACCTCCGACCGTTTGGAAATGTTGGTGAGTTTACTAGAAAATGTCGATTGGGACGTTGAAGAAGAGCGATATAAATTTCTCTGTCGAATCAATTGTTTCATCGCAGATTGGACAGACCAACTTCCTAACCTCCGGGACATTTTCCGACCCGAAGAAATTGAGTGTCTTCTTTTTGATTCCATCAATTTTCAGAATATCGGAGAATTCATTCAATTTGTGGCTCGTACCGGCTACAAAAACGAGCCCGACGTAGACAAAGATGCCAAACTAACGTCGCGTCGCACCACACTAATACATCGTGCGGCTAAGAGTCGATATGGTTACCTCATTCCTTACCTTTTCAAAATTTATGACAGGGTCAACGTTAATTATACCGACGAGTCCGGCTACACGCACTTCCACGCGGCCTGCGAGTACGGCCTTTGCGACGTGGTCGAGAAATTTCTCGAGTTCGGCCGGGTCGATCCCAATCTCCTCGTGTCGGAAACCAGCGATTCTCCGCTGCATTTGGCGAAAGAGAAGAAAGTGGTCGAATTACTATTGAGATATGGCGCCAATTCAAATCTAATCAACAAGAACGGATCGACTCCGCTGCACAACGTTTGCAAGGCAGAGGAATTGACGGAGGTTTTCTTCGCGATCTGCGACGAGGGCGGCCAGCGGACGACGTTGCGGGTCGACGTCCGCGACAAGTTGGGCGGCACACCGTTGCAAGTGGCTTCGCGCCACGGCAACAAGAAGGCGATCGAATTACTGCTGAGACGAGGCGCCGATCCGAACTCGGTCGACGAGGCAGGAGAGGCACCTTTGCATTTTCTAACTAAAAGAGGCAAGGATAATGGTGTAATGGAGTTGTTCTTCGAGATACTCGACGAAATCCGGCAGACAGTGCGAGTCGACGTCCCGAACAAGTTGGGCGCCGCTCCGTTGCATCTGGCTATAGCATTCCAGAACGAAAAGGCAGTCGAGTTAATTCTGAGGAACGGCGGGAATCCGAATTTGGCCAATTCAGAGGGTTTGTCTCCGCTGCAATTGATTATCAAGAGATACCGCAATGAGCACTTGGCAGAGAAATTTTTCAAGTTAAACAACGAAATCGGTAAACTAGTACAAGTTGATGTACGAGACGATAAGGGTCGGACACTGCTGCAATGGGCCGTGGTGAATCTTTTGCCAAAATTGGTTCATGTACTTTTGCAAAATGGCGCCGATTTGTCTAGCTTCGTTTTTCCCACTGGGAAAGACTTCGACGAGTACTTCGAAAATGAATTCCATAA